CTGTACAAAGTTAGTTGTACATTTATTCAAATAAAAGCATCAGAGAAATTTTTAAATGTTCCATCCATCCATCCATCCATTATCTTTACCCGCTTCTTCCATTTTGGGTCACGGGGGTCGCCGGTGCCCATGTCCAGCAATCACTGTGCGAGGGGCGGGGGACTCCCTGGATGGGTGGCAAGTCCATCACAGGGCCACATAGAGACAAACAACCATTCACTCTCTCACTCACACCTAGGGACAATTTAGAGTTACCAATCAGACTAACATGCATGTTTTTGGTCTGTGGGAGGAAACCGGAGTACCCGGAGAAAACCCACGCATGCACGGAGAGAACATGCAAACTCCACCCAGAAAGGCCCCTGGACCGGGGTTTGAACCAAGGACCTGCTTGCTGAGAGGCAGCAGCTCTACCAGTTGCGCCACCGTGCTGCCCTTGAAATGTTCCAGTATGCTTAAAAAGCTAAATAAATTAACGATTACATTGTACTAACCGGTGTACTTTGGTTTCTAAGCACAGTATACCCACTACAAAAATGTAGACTACACCACTGGACCAAAACCAACCCTGGAGTGAAAAAGAACAACTCCAGAAGAGCCTTATTTACGACTTGGGTTGGTGCTAGCTAGCGCTAACCATTATTATCATAGCACACACCAGCTAAAGTTTTTAAACCAGTTTCACTGTCTATAGCAAATTAAAGCTTTTAACAAAGCCAACCGGGTCAAACATCATTTTAGGAGTTGTTTTTTGCTCATTACATTCTCAAGCAGGAGTCAGTCAGCTCCAATATGGTCAGCTTGTGGCACAAAATGACAGACTGTAAAGAAATGACAACAACCCAACCACTGGGTGAAACTTTTGAAATGTTTAGTCAAACCAGCCCAACAAATCTGTGTAGGTCTAGTTTGAGAGCAGCAGATGCAATGTGCGAAGTGTCACCTAGTCGGTGAATATAATTCAGTCTGGTTCTCAAGCTGTTCAGTCAGTGGGTGTGTGTGGAGATCATCCATATGTTGTAGAAGTCTGATAAACTTACCTGGTAAGACTGGTTAGTCAAAGGTTTACAAACTGAGCGAGTGCTCAAATTCTTCTTTTGGCTGCTCACTTCTTCAGGGGTCGCCACAGCAAACTAACTCGCACGAAGACTTGGCGATTGTTTTTACACCGGATGCCCTTCCTGACTCAACCACAGATCACTGAGCCACCACAGCCCTCTGTGTGGAGGTGAGAGCTGCCATCTAGGGCACCCAGGGGAGCGGATGGTGGGGGTTAAGGACCTTGCTCAAGAACCTGGAGTGGGGCAAATTAAGGTGGAGGCAGATGTGGGTGCTGGCAGTTACGCCCGGGCAGGCAAGTGATGTCGATCCCCGGATGGAACCGGCATCTTTCTGATAGACTCGACATCTGCGCCACCAACAGTGAGTGCCCAAATTAATGATAAAAATACCCAAGGGCAAACTGTGCTTGTTGCTCTGTTCAACATTTGTTGGAGGTGTTGGCACTAAATTGTGAGTGAAACTGAACTTAAGTATCATTTTAAAAATTATTTTTGTGTTGTTGCAGTGATGACCGACTTAAAAGCAGGTTTAACAGCTCAGTGATAACAACAAAGGTGCCGAGGGTGGAATTTTTATTGTGAAACAGTTACTTTAGTAGTGAAACATTCTTTTTAAAGTTCAGTAGAGTGAGGTGAGATTTTTGTGGAATGAGGCAATGCAGGAAACCAAAGACTGGGTGGAGATGAGCTAACTTAGCATTCGTCATTTTCAGCCTTCACACCATGATGTCTTTTTGTTCAGAGTGTGAAATACTCTTAGCAGCTAAAATGTTTTCAGGTGTATAAAATTTGTTTCATTTGTGAGATATACAAAACTGAGACAGAGCTTTGAAAATCAGAGGCAAACACTTGTCCCTCATGGCAGAAACACTCTTGAATACATAGCATTGCAATTTAGACAAGACTTCAAAAATGTACAAAACAAAAACCTTATTTCTATTAATATTGTTAGTGTATATCTTAGATCCTTGTATAATGTTTCTTTTTTATACTTTATTTTTATTGCTATTATGGGGTGTAACAGCAAACTTGAGTACAATACTGTATTTTGTTCCACCTCAGGTACCACATGTAATGTGAGTGACAATAAAGTTTCCTTGAACCTTGAACCTTGAACCTTGAAAACTTCATGGCATTTCCGCGTTCATGAGGTTCCTGGTCTAATCGTGTTTATGGCAAATGCTCAGCTGTTAGTTGCTCACGTTTTTCGGCATTGTCATTTTTGGTTTGTTTGAGCACTACCAGAACCCAGAACTGAACCCAGAGGAACCAGGAGATACGTAAGAGTAAAAAAGGTAAGTGAGTTTATTCACAGGTTTTTGTAAAGACTGTATATCAGGAGCTCTGCAAAGAGAAACAACAGGTGAGTATATGATTTCTTGAAGCGTTGATTCAATCCTTATAGAAATAATGAGAAATAATCCTTACTTTTGGTTTACAGGTTTTAGTCTTCGAGGGGGGTCCGGAGATAGTGCAGTTGGGGGAACAATCAGGATCCAGAGGAGAGAGGAGCGGTACTGAGATGTCAGGAGCAGACAGGCAGGTGCAGAGTCTGAATAATTGTTTGTCTTACAGGGGTGGGGCTCAGTATTTGCCAAAGCGATCCAGGAGTCAGATCAAGGAACCAGGAGACAGGTCAGCACAGAGAGATCGAGCAAGGTAACTGAATAATCTGAATTATTCAGGGGTTGTCGGTTTAGTCACCATTGTGACTCAACGCTCCAACAGTGAACTGAAGTCAGCCAAGGCATCAAGAAGAGTAGAGCAGATGAGGTGATCTGAATCACCTGTTGTGGATCTTCTACCTGGCTGTGCCTGCAAATAATAAAATGTCCAGCAGAGAAAGCTCGTACCAGAGATCCGAACAGGCATTTATTTTTGCTTAAATTACACGAAGCAACACTAGTCCTACGGGTTTTCAGTATGTAGCTTAAACAAACATATGAAGTCCCCCTCAAAATAACATAAATTATGAGTGAATACAAAAATGAACCAAGTCAGAATTGTGATTGTTGTACATTTGAAAACATACATGTAGTGCTTCAATCCAGTTTTGACCCGTTTGTATTGTTCATTTTCTCAGAGTTTAGTTAAATGAAACCCAGGAAGCTCAAGAGACTGAAAGTAAGGAATAACAATAAATTTATTAACAATATATACAGAATTTACAGAGACTTGACTTGGAAGGAAATGTTAAAGTACAGTATCTGTGGATGCAGAATGAAGATGGTAAGAATTTTCTTTTAGGCAGTGGATCTTCTGGAAGGTTTTATATAAAAAGAGAGTAGACTTACTCACTGGTGTTCGAGTTTGAGGAGGAGGGTAGGATTCCAGGTTCCAGGAAGGTAAGTATGGTAGGTGAACTTACCAAGTAGGTGTAGGAGAGCGGCAGGTCAGACCAGGATGAAGAGGGATGTGAGAGATCTTTCCAGTTGTAATGTCTGTTGTGAGGAAGATTGGTTTTGAGATCCAAGACAAACTCAGGCTGGAAGGTGAAGATAAGTGTCAAACTCTGAGAACACAAGAAACAGAGTCTCATCTGTGAAGAGCACAAGGAAAACTGGTAATTCACATTGTCTTAAATTGCACTAGGAACTCTGGCTGATCACTGAATAGTATTCAGTGAATACCATGAAGTAGACAAAGTCTCCACAGCATCCTCTGGCAGCCTTGGTCCTTAAATACAACAGGTGGCTCATTAGAGCGATGAGCAACAGCTAAGTAGAAGAAACTCCTCTCTGTAACTCAGGAGCTCCAAAAAGATGATGTTAATACAGAAAATCCTGGAATCTCTACAAGTTTGTGCTGTGTATGGAAAGGATCATAAGGTACAGTCATGGAGAAGAGGGTATCTGGTTTGGGAAGCTCAGGGTTGTGTCTCTACTTTATGCAAATTATATGGTTCTGTTGGCGTCTTCAGGCCATGACCTTCAGCATACATTTTGGCATTTCACAGCTGGAAAGGCAGTCAGCTCTTAGTCTGAGCCATGGTTCTCAACTGAAAACAAGTAAAGTGTCTCCTCCAGGTCAGGAATGAATCTTTGCCTCAGGTGGAGGAGTTCAAGCACTGTAGTATCTTGCTCACAAGTCATAGGATGGAAGAGGAAATGAATAAACAGTCTTGTCCTCAGTGATGAGTGCATTGTTTTGGTTGGTCATGGTGAAGAAAGAGTTAAATCAAAAAGAAAAGCTTTTGATTTCCTGGTCCATCAATGTTCCAAACATCACCTAGGTTCATGAGTTGTGGATTGTGCCTAAAAGAATGAGATCCTGAATACAAGTAGACAAAAGCAGCTTCTTTGATAGGGTGGCCGGGCTCAGCTTAAAATACAGGGCGTCATCCAGGTGGAGCTCGGAGTAGAGCTGCTGCTCTTCTGCATTGAAATGAGACAACTGAGGTGGTTCAGGCATCTAGTCAGGATGAACACCTCCTTTTGGGGGGGTTTGTTGGCATGTCCTTGTAGCAAGAAACCTCTGGGCAAACCTTTAACTCAATAAGAGATTTCTATCCTTTCTAGCCTGGAAATGCCTTGGCATCCCCCAGGAGGAACTGGAGAGTTTTGCTAGGTAGAAGGATGTCTGAGCAGAGATGAGAAAAGGCGGTGTATACCATGGACAGGTCTCCAGTCCATCACAGGGCTTCATAGAGACAAACAACCATTCACACCCTCACTCACACCTAGAGACAATTGAGAGTTACCAATTAGACTAACATGCATGTTTTTGGTCTGTGGGAGTAAACCAGAGAACCCAGAGAAAACTCATGCATGCATAAGTCTGCATGCAAATCTTTGGGTCGGGATTTGATCCAGCAACCTTCTCACTGAGAGGCAGCAATTCTACCAAACATTGTTGGTTGCACCATTGTTCCACCCATGCAGGAAGAGACTGATCTCAGGTTAACATTAGTTTAATCTGTAGCTTTCTGTTGAATAAATTATGGACTTGTTTGTTTTGTCTCTTGATAAGGGAGTTGGTTCATTCAGCAGCAGTACGATGGCCTGTCAGGAAGATGGGATCGAGCCAGCGGCTGCGATCTCAGCTGTACAAAATGAAGGCCGAGGCCACCGCTTACGTGACATCCTCAATCAGAGACGAGATGAGTTAGACGCCCTCATTTCAGAAAACAGTGAGGAAAATATTGTATTATTAAACAGAACAAAGAAGCTGATTATTAGGACTAAATCAAAGCAATGTCTTTAAAACGCTTCTGTGTTTCAGGGAATCAACCTTTTCGTGTGGTTCATAACCTCAAAAATGCAGGTAGACCTTCTTTAATACGGGGCACTCCCATTACCTGCAGGATGGACAATGTTGAGAAAAACACAAGCGGTGCACTGGTATGTTTGTTTATTTATTTATTCATTTTAATTTCTTTGTTAAAATGTTGTTATAATGCTATTAGTATTTGTGAAAGATGAAAAATTTGTGAAAAAGTTTATCATTCAGTTTAGTTTTAGTGCTTCTTTTACTCTGCTAAAGTGACTTCATTCATTCAACTTTTATTTATAAAGGTTAGTCCCATTGAGCCTTGAGGACTCATTTACAAGAGAGACCTGATTTTAGCAAAGAGTGATGACAACAGTGGTTAACAATGACAACAATAGACGATCATAAAAGAGGCATACAGATTTTTTTTTTCAAATTAAAATAAGATGGCAAAGTAGCAAAAACAGCTAGATTATAAGGTGATGTAGAAAACTAAAACAGGAACATGTCTGCATTGGTTTTTGCCAGGAACTTAACAGATGTTTAAAGCCACTTCGAGAGGTCATGATCGAGAGCTTCAGATCTTTTTGCAAGATATTCCAGGAAACAGGAGTGGAGTAGGAGAAGACCCTTTTGCCAAGTTCTGTCCTCACTGAGGGAACACTGCATGTAATAACAAAGTCCATGCTCAATAATCCAGGCATACAATCCAACATTTTTCAGTCAGGTCATCTGGACAGTTTCTTTTTTGTGCTGAAACATTTTGCCTTCGATCCGGAAGGCTTCATCAGTCAAGGAAAAACACAACAAAACTGATACATACCACTTTGGAGTAAGCTGTTAGGGGAAGAATCAGTTTTGTTGTGTGTTTCCTTGACTGATGAAGCCTTCTGGATCAAAGGCGAAACGTTTCAGCACAAAAAAAAGAAACTGTCCAGATGACCTGACTGAAAAATGTTGGACTGCAGGTAATAATGTCCTGAGAGCACATGCTGTAGCTGCACTCACGCAGAGACATGTAGGAGGAGATGTATGAAGGCAGCAGACCAAGAAGTGATTTAAAGATGAAAATGTACCAGTGAGAGAGTCTGCATGAAGTTAATGATGTCCAGTTAACCAGTGAATACTGGGTGCAGTGGTGGGTACGGTAGTTACAGCCAGTTATGAATCTTAGTGCGCCATGATAGACAGCAACCAACATCTGCAGAGTTCTTGTAGGAGCGTTCATGTAAATAATGTCACCGTAATCAATGAAGGGAAGGAAAGTCACAGATACAAGGCGTTTCCTAGCATTCAGAGTTTGACAGGATCTGTTTCTGAAAAAGAAACCCAGTTTAACTTTCAGTTTCTTTACTAGGTTTTCCACGTGAAGCTTAAAAGAGAGATGCGAATTAACCAAGATACACAAATATTTAAAGGAATCAACAAACTCAATAGGGACACCATTTGAGGACAAAATCAAAAAGAAGAACGGCTGGGACCGACTTCCTATTTGGAAAAAGCATCCCTTTGGTTTTATCGGCATTTAGGACAAGTTTGAGATGGAGCAAGTCTGTTTGAATGATGTCAAAGGCAGATTGCAAAAGCTGGAAAGTTTTAGCAACTGTTTTAGCTCAACAATAAAAACTGTCATCATCATAGAAATGTAAGGATGCATTAAGGATGCTCTGACCTACATTACCTATGTAGATTGTAAAGAGGGTGGGTCCTAAGACTGAGCCTTGTGGTACACCATTGTTGACTGTTAAATAACTGGAGGAAGTTCCATTATGTTGAACACATTGCCTCCAATGTGAGAGATAGAGAACCAACCAATGGTGTGATATGAGAAACCAATTTCTGAGAGTTTATGACACAAGACGTTATGATCCACAGTGTCAAAAGCTTTAGACAGATCTAAGAAAAGTGCAGCACAATAATTCTTAGCATCCAGTGCTTCAACAACGTCATTAAGAACCTTCAGTGAAGCAGTCGTTGTGCTGTGTTGTTTCCTGAAACCAGATTGATGGAGAGGTAAGATGTTAAATGAGTCCAAATCCTTTTTGATTTGAGAGTTTATCAATTTTTCTAGAACCTTGGCTAAAATTCAGTTTAGAGATTGGTCGATAGTTGTTCAGTGAGGTGGGGTCACCTCCCTTCAGCAAAGGAAGAACAAAGGCTGTTTTCCAGGCGTCTGGAATGGAATTGTGTCTTATGGAGAGATTAAAGATGTGGGTCACAGGGACTGTGACGATATGAGCAGCCAGCCTTAAGAAATAAGGTGGAAGTTCATCTGGTCCTGCAGATTTTTTAGGATCAAGACCTTTTAACACATTATTTACTCACAGACTAAGAACGGGGAAAGAGAAAAGGTGTGATTTACTGAAGATTGACTTGTAGGAGGGATTTGATTTGTAGAAGTTTGGTTAGTAGGGGAAGTGGCAGATTTTCCATTAGTAACTGTGTCAAACAAAGAACTAGAGGCAACAACAAAATGTTTGTTGAAACAGTTCAGGATCTCGTGCTTATTTAACACAGGAACAGAGTTAATGAGAAGTTGTGATGGGAGGTCAGATGATTGGGAGCTGCCTGAGAGAGATTTGATGCTGTATTGAATGAAGTTATTAATGAAATTATGTGAGTTCTCTGTGTCTGGTCCTTGTAGTTCTCTGAATTATTTTAGAACAAAAGTTATTATTTTGTAAGAACTGATTCATTTATTATAAACACTCATTATCTGAAGGTTATCATCTCTGCGGTTCAGCTTTTATTTCTAAACATTTCAACAAACCTATTCATAATGAAAGTGTTTAAACACTTACGTGTTCACCTGGTGCCATTTTTAGTTACGCCTGAACAACTAAAACAGTTTTGCATTTTGTATGATCTCTTCTTTTTCAAAAATAGATTCCAATTTTATGTTGATTTAAAAAGTTATGATCACTACATTTACATGTACATTTTACTTCTTTTTTTCAGGTTGAAAATGAGAGGATACAGGCTTCAATACTTGTGTTGTATTGATATTAACTAACAAATGATTTAGAGAAAATTCTTCCTTGAAGTTTACCATACTGTCTATATATATATATATATATATACGTGTGTGTGTTATGACATTAAATGCTTGATTCTAACTAATAATACACTTCCAGGATGATGAAGACACCTTGTATACGTTTCATCTAACACACGGTAATTTCCAATGGACAGTGAAGAGAAAGTACAAACACTTTCAGGAGCTGCAGCGAGACCTTTACCTCCGCAGGATACTCCTTTACTTTCGGCCTTTTGAAAGGTTTTAGTATCTATTTATCTTAGTCATGCAAATCAGCTTCCTTTTCTGAGGGATGTGCATATTAAATCTGAGCTGCTTTTAGCTTTTAATGTCAGAGCTGTTGAGTGCTGATTATTTTGACTATTCAACATTTTTTCAAAGGTTTGAAATGAATGAGCAGCAGCAGAGGAGCAGGTTGAGCAAAATGCCGAACCTGGACGGCACAGAACAGACCAGGAGGACCTCCAAAAAAGGGCTCTCAAGGTGTCCGGACTCTGTAAGAAGTTTTTTTTTGGGGGTTTTTTTTAACAAAACAAGATTGTACAAAATAATTATTTTTGTATACGTCTTTCCCACTTTGTAGAACTATTTTTTAATGTCAGTCTTCCTCAAATAAAAATTTATTATTAAAAATTATAGTTAAAGATTTTTAATAAGAAACACAAAAATATGGAAACAAATTTCTTAACATTGCAATTAATTTTCCCCTGTCGTATAGTAAAAATGTGGAATTGGAAATACACTCTGTCTGTGCATGTTGTGAGCATGATAACTTAAAAAATACGAAAGGTATTGACTTACAGTTTGGTATGTGGCTTCATCTAGACATAAGAAAGGTGCTGATTTAAAATTGGGTTGCCAAGACAAAATCCAAGATGGCCACCACCATATAGGCAACAGGTAAACCAGCCACCCCTATAATTTGAGGAAACTATACTTTCTAGTTTTTACGTTGCTTAAAAGTAGGCTATAGTTTCCTTAAACGAGTCCAAAAAAAAGCAAGGTGTTGGCTGTTCCTCAGCGTTCCTCCTATTATTCACTCTAGGAGCTACTGACTCTTCCTCACTATCTACCGCTTGCGTAGACATCTTTTCAGGTGTCTAGCTTGCTCAGGTAGATAAGACAGGAGACATTTTCTTTGTTGAACTGGTAGCCATACTGCACCGCTCTGGCTCGAACACGCACCGGAACATGAATGCAGGAAGGCTCCACCTTTATTACTTTTCAGTAGTGCGTAACCTTCCACCCTACAAAGTCGTGCCATCCCCAAAGGAAAATACAACAGTGGCATACATTGTACTCAACACAAGGCACAGCTTTCATTTTGGTGCTTGGCTTTATCTAGCCATAACAAAAGTCTATCAAAATTGGGTTGCCACATCAAAACTCCAAAATGGCCACCACCATGTATATACTATATGTAAACTGGCTACCCCAACCTTTTCAGGAAACCACACTTTCTAGTTTGTATATTGGTTAACTTAAAAGTATTGTTTCCTCAAATGATTAGTGTGGCCGAATATTAATCTCTGGTGGCCAAGGCCATCATTGGCCATCTCCTAGCTCCATCATTGCACCTGATGGTAAATTAAATTGCTCCCTCAATTCATCAGGATCTGTCACTCTATGCTGCCTCGGTCAAGCAAAAATAAAATGTGTTCTTCTACACAGTGTAACTTGTACACAATTGAATATCTTGCACCAAAAACATTAAGGTTCACTTGCATTCACTGTTTAATTCCAGTCTAGAAAAACATCCATCCATCTTTACTGGCTTCTTCCTTTTTGGGTCACGGGGGTCACTGGCGTACATGTCCAGCCATCATTGTGCAAAAAGCGGGGTACACCCTGGACAAGCCTCCAGTTCATCACAGGGACACATAGAGACAAACGAGACAAACAACCATTGACTTTCTCACTCACACCTAGGGACAATTTAAATCAACTTAACGTGCATGTTTTTGGTATGTGGGAGGAAACCGAAGTGCCCAGAGAAACCCACGCATGCACATAGATAACATGCAAACTCCACATATACACAGTCGGGATTAGATCCAGCGACCTGCTCGCTGAGAGGCAGCGACTCTACCAATTGCCCCACCGTACCGCCCCATCCAGAAAAACATTCACCTTAAAAACTACAAACATTCACTATTCAAATCCTTCAGTGACAGTGGGCAGCGGCGTACCTCTTGTTTTGTATGTAACATGTTAGGCTAAGCAATAAACTTTGTTTTTCATTTGTTTGACATTATTTCTCATTCAATTTTTTATGCACAGAAACACCTCGAGGACTACCTGAATAGTGTGCTGGAGAAATCATTTTGCAGAAATGCCGGCAGCATGGTAAACTCTTCAACAACTGATATTGTTTCATTACTAAGCTGGCATGCATGAATCATGTGGAGTGATTACATTTGACTTTTTCAGATGGATTTCCTCTACATCAGTCCTCTTTCCTTTATCAATGATTTGGGGCCCAAAGGCTTGTAAGTAACGCACTTACCTAAACGATCTTAAAGCACCTGATGAATACTCATTCTGCTGTATGCTTGGATTTTTCTCAGGGAGGGACCGATCATCAAGAGTTCCGGGGGCTACGAGACACATGCCCTGCAATGCATTTGCAATAACACATGCTGTTTCCTGTGGTCACACCGCTGGATGGTGGTGAAAGACTCCTTCCTCATGTTCATCAACCGAGATGACGCCACCATCAACGGTGTGATGCTTTTTGACCCCAAGTTCCAAGTGAAAGTGCAACAAACTGGACTCTGCATTGAGAACACAGCAAGGTGGGTCCACTCTGAGAGATTCCAGAGGTAAGCCAGGGCTGGAGCGGAACTGGTTCTTAAAAAAATAAAATAAAATAAATAAATTAGAACCAGTTCGTTTTCTACAGTCAGAAAAATAATTTGGAGATCCGTCATTGAAAGTCTCTTCTGGTAAATATTTGATCCTCCCTCTGTATTCTGAGTTTCTGGATCACAGAGCAAGGAGACACTTTATCTCCACAGATAAGTTTTTAGTCTCGTTGTTCCTGCAAAAGTGTCTCATACAAACCATGTTGCTTGGTGAGCCATTAGTCTAGCCTAGACAAAGACTCCCCTCTTTCTTCCCACTCTGTGCTCTAACTGATATCATGATTGACAAGGTAATAACTACTGATAATTAGCTGGCAACACAATGACTTAGTGGTTAGCACTGTTGCCTGACAGCAAGAAGACCCTGGTTTGGACCTGGGCTCTTTCTGTGTGTTCTCATGTCCTCCTGTCTGTTTTTTTGTTTGTTTTTTTTTTGGTACTCTGGTTTCTAACCAGGATAATCATTGTGAAAAAAATCACATCACGAAGCTGCTGATTTATTTCATGTTGATGTGTTCATGCGTGCTCATCTGCTCACACAGACTCATGTTCACGCTGCTGTTCGGCTTATTGTTTTTGTACTTAGTGCTTAGTATAGTTTTAGTTAACTTTTTCTTATTTTATATCTTAGATCTTATTACTGTTTTTCTTTTACGTTTTATGCTTTTGTTGGCTGTAACTGGGACCCTGTGTACACAATTTCATTCCACCACATGTACCACATGTGGTGTGTATGACAAATAAAGAACCTTGAATCCTTTCTTCCCACAGTCCAAAAACATGCATGTTAGGCTGCCTTCAAGTCCAGGCCTCCCTTGCAAAAGAGATATGTGATATCAGTGGTATTTTATTGGTTAAATAAAGGTAAATAAATAAAATAACTATTATACAGGACACTTTAAAGATGGCTAGATTATTCTTTTAGCTATGTGACTGGATATTTAAACAAAGAAAAGGAACACACTTCAAAGGAGGTTGTTGTTTTTTTTTTTATCATGGCATCAATTTTGCTGGTTGTTCTCCATGAACTCACCTCCAGCTTCTGAATTTATTTGTCATATTTTTACTCTGGTCTAGCAAAGAGTTGATATTAAGACAACACTGTTTGTTTCTGGTGATAGATAGTGAGCAATGTTGTGTTTGAGTGTTTGAGCACACTTGTGTAGACAAGCTTCAGTTTGTGACACATCCCTTTTATCCCTGTTGTGGATGGTTCAGACCAAGAATGCAGGCTGGACATGAGGATTTAAAAAAAAAACCAAATATATTTATTTGACTATAAAACTGTGGCAAGAGATGAAGAATGCAGAAGTGAAGTGAGCATGGCGAGCGAATATGTTGACAAGGATATGTGAGAGATAGGCTGCAGCTGAGATGGATGGGAATGAGGAACAGGTGAGGTGGGCGTGGCAGACTGACTACAAAAACACTGAGAATGAATAAGAAATGGCACAGTGTGGCTAAAAAAAGAAGAAAATAAACACAAGAATACCAAAGCAATCCTAACAACATGTATAAAATAGATTAAAAGCAAAGCTAACAAAAACACAGATCCTCACACCTGTTTGCTTTTGGTCAGGAGCGTGATAATTAAGTGCAGCAGCGACAAAGAAACAGAATGGTGGGGCGACGAAATCAAACGGCTGACAGAAGCATGTGACTTTCTCAAAGTGCATCGATTTGGTGGCTTTGCTCCTCCACGAGAGAACACGCTCACTAAATGGTCAGTTTGATAATCCGCTGCTATTCACAACAAGTGCAACACCAGTCAATGTTAACATGCTATTAACCAATTGATTGATTTTCATGGAAGGTATGTGAATGGAAGTGGCTACTTTGCCGACCTGGCTGATGCTCTTAAGAAAGCAAAGGAGGAGATTTTCATCACTGATTGGTGGTGAGAACCAGAATTCAGATTTGCTAATTTACTAACATACTGATGTCTATGTATCTTTAACAACAAAATATACATTTTGTTCATTATGAAGTGTATTTCTTATGTGAAACAATGTCAAAATCTTTTTTTTTTGTCAGGCTCAGTCCTAAAGTGTTCCTAAAGAGGCCAGCAAATGATAAGGATTGGAGGCTGGACAAGATCCTTCAAGAGAGAGCAGTACAGATTCCTTCTTTTCTGAGATTCATTTTATTGGTTTTCTTGTGGTTTTTATTATGAAATCATTTCTATTTCAACTCCTTTTTCTGCAGAAGGATGGAGTGAAAGTATTTATCCTGCTGTACAGAGAGGTGACGTATGCACTTTCCATCAATAGCAACTACAGCAAGAGAGCTCTAAGGAAGAAACATCGAAACATCAAGGTCTGTGATCTCTTTGCAAAACTATTAACAGAAAGCCATGTTATGAATGCTCATTATTCTTTTTTTACACTAAAGTGATAATTTCACACTTGTCATCCATCAGGTGATACGGCATCCTGACCATGTGTCATCTGGGGTGATCTTTTGGGCTCACCATGAAAAGATGGTGGCCATTGACCAAACCGTAGCTTTTGTCGGCGGGATTGATCTGACATTAGGGAGGTGGGATGACAATCAGTACCGGCTAACAGACCTAGGTTTTGCAGAGGGGTCAAACGGTGTGTCTGAGGAGCAGCTAAACAAAAGCTGGTTCTCTTGTCATGTGGGTGCCTCTCATAACCAGGACAATGATTCAACTGATGGTCCCAAGACTGGCAATCAACCAAAACAGGGTTCTAGAAATCTGTCTGGCAACACTAAACTGTGGCTTGGCCAAGATTACAACAACTTTGTCTTAAAAGACTGGGTCAAACCAGAAAAGCCATTTCAAGGTATGTCATCCAAACATTAGTCAGTGTCAAGAGTAATCCCCAAGTCTTTGAATGCTGGGATGAGCTGATTTTTGTTGTTTTTCTTGTAGAAAACGTTGATCGGACTAGAGTTCCTCGCATGCCGTGGCGTGACCTGTCTGCGGCTGTCCATGGCGGAGCAGCCAGGGATGTGGCCAGACACTTTATCCAACGCTGGAACCTCAACAAGGTGACTTACCTTCTGTCATAAAAGGTTTTGAATGTACATCCAAATATGCTCAAACATACAGCATATTTCTTTAAAAACCCATTGTTTGTGAAAATGGGGTATTAGTGATGCGATGGGACTAGGTATAGAAATTAGTTTATAGAAAGCTAAAGCAAATTTAATGGAAGTATCCAAAGCAGTAAACACAAAATCCAAACTCGAAATTTTTACTGAAGGTTACTAAACTGAACATGCACACTCTGAGAGTTGATTAAAAGGAATATGTAGACTTTTGTATTGCACTAACCTTACAGAACAATCTGACTTGATTTGCTATTGTTGTCTTTAGATCTCAAAAAGGAAGTACAGAGACAACTTTTACCCTTACCTTGTTCCCAAGTCTCACTCCACTGCTGACTCACTGCCATTCATCGTGCCTGGCTCCAGCAAAGCCAAAGTTCAGGTATTTCAGCTCACACACACGCACACACACATTTGTGTTAGTTCCCCTATAAGTGTCCTTACAGTTTTAAAAAAGATCGAGTGCTCATGTCATAAAAATACAGAAATTGAAAAAAAATTGTGTGTTCAATGACAACAATGTTGTAAAGTTTTATGGTATCCTTTCTTCAGGTGTTGCGCTCTGCTGATCGGTGGTCAACTAAAAGGTTGGAAACCTCAATCCAGAATGCCTACATACACACTATAGAGAAGAGTGAGCACTTCATCTACATTGAGGTAAAACAGCAAAACATTCTGTGATCAATGTCATAAAAAGGAAGCTGTGGTGAAAGGAACAGAAACTGTTGCAATCTCATGAATGAGACATTCCAGGAATACTCACTGCATTTACCTCAAATTAACTTTTGGAGCCAACCCAATTCAAGATGGCTGCTACAGCAACACCGATAATTAAGTCAATTTTACAGAACCGAGCTCAAATTTGAGATGGTCGCATCCTGTGCCTTGTTTACTTGTGAACATTCTCAGGAAACGTTACCATTTTTTTTCCATGTTGATTGAGAAGTTGTTTTCACTGTAATGCTGTTCTCCTAAAATCTGCTGTAGTTCCCATGCCGGGTCACTAGTTGGCGCTGTGATTTTTGTATTTCAACTTTGCCAACACAAGTCTCAAGCATGAAAACAGCTGCGTCTAACAGTGACTACAAGAACATTCAGTTGGACAGTGGATATGTGTTTTGGTTACTCTCATATGTCGAAAAAGGGTGAATAGCACAAACTGCACTCTGCTATCCACCATAGCTACTGTTGTTCATCTACATGCACAACAAGACGAGTGAGTGCAGATACCCGTATTGTGCATGCACAATTTCCCACCGATGCAGGACATTTCCAAAAACCTCCACTCTGAGACCCGAATTCAAAAAGCTTCACGTCAGAGAAAATGACTGCTGCTGTGCTGTGTGGTCTATGAATGATTCGCAAGATGCACAACATATGGAATCCAGATGACTGTAACAGTTAAAATATACACTTTAATAAACACAATCATCTGAACAGACAGAGAGTTGGGAGCCCCAACCAAAATAAAGACAGAGAGAAGCCTCGAACCAGACAGCGCTTGATTGTTGGATTTGGGCCGCTCCCCTCAACCTATAAACCAGGAAACTAACCCTACAATCAAAATACATTAAAAAGGACTGTGGGTAATGCCCAGGAACAGCTAACAATTCATAACTATTAATAAAAGTGGCAATGTGCAATGCTAGCATCTATATGGAAGGAGCAGGTACGAGCTTAGGGATGGAGAGCAGAACCAGCAACCACAAACATTGTACGAACTTTTTAGGCCTCTCCTCTCTGCTCTTTGCTCGTCTAGCAGGCAGAGCTTGTTCTTTTTAAGTCCCATCAGCCAATCACAACTAAAACAAGAAATACATCAATCAAGCAGACACGCAAAAAGTGGCACAGCGGCATGTAAGAAGAATCGCCCAAACACATAGGCTACTTAAAAACAGTGCTGCGTAAACTGGGCTTGAGTCACTCACAACAAATACATTTTTCATCTGTGTAATTAATGCTGCCTGAGATTTTGCAAAGTATTGTTTTTCAAGGTTTGACAAAAACTCCTTTTTCGACATAAAATGATTGTCTAATACTTTGACTTAAAAGAATGCAGGGGTGAAAGGAATACTAGGTCTTTAACTGACATCTATGTAAGATTTTTTTGAGCTCGTAATTTGTCTACTTTGACTTCACCTCAGACTGAGTCACCATCTTCTTTGCCTTTAGAACCAGTTCTTCATCAGCTGTGCTGATAATAAGACCGTCTACAACGGGATTGGTGATGCAATTGTAAAACGGATTCTTCGTGCTCATAGGTGGGACTGATTTGTATTCTGCAGATTTGTACTACATCTTGTTAATTTTCTATTAGCACATTTGTGAACCTGTTAGATTTTAGTTAGCTAGAACACAGTCTAATAATTAGTGAAAGGAATATTTTGTGTTTAAAGATGCAAACCATAGATTAAAGGTGGAACCATAGACATGGAAGCAGTGACTGTTGTGTGTTGTCGCAGCACAAAGAAGAAGTTCAGGGTGTTTGTGGTGATTCCTCTGCTTCCTGGGTTCGAGGGAGACATTAAAACAGGAGGTGGAAATGCCATTCGGACAATTCTGCACTTCACTTACAGGTGAGAGTCCTAACCCTCCTTTGTCAGGTTGCTCTCAGCCCACAGAACAGAAATAGCAAGTAGAACTTGTGACAACCACACAACATGTTTTCTGCATTATTTTTATTCAACAGAGACCCGTTTCCCATCAGTGTGTAGGTATGTTAGTACAGGCTCTGTCACTCATAGTAGGTTTAATAAATGTATTTATTTGTGGAAACACACAGAAATTTATTATGCTAGATAAATCTATCTATCTATCTAAAGGTTCTGCCGTCAACAGGACCCTCTGTTCTTGCCATTATTAACAGCAGTTTGGCTACAGGTGTGGTTCCTGATGGTTTAAAACATGCAGTGGTAACTCCACTAATTAAAAAACCCGGACTTGACCCTGCAGCTTGTTCAAACTTCAGGCTAATCTCAAAACTTCCATTTCTTTCTAAAATCTTGGAGAAAATTGTTTTTAGTCAACTAACTAAGTTTTTGAAGGTAAATGGATTTTTTGAGATTTTTCAATCAGGATTTAAACAACTGCACAGCACCGAGACAGCTTTAGTAAGGGTCTGTAATGACATTCTGCTAGCAAATGACTCTGGTCAGTCTGTGATCTTGGTACTCCTCGACCTTACCGCTGCATATGACACTGTTGATCACATCATCCTTATGTCACGGCTAGAACACTGGGTTGGGATTACTGGTGTGGCGCTAGAATGGTTCCGTTCGTGTCTGAGTGACAGGAGTTTTTGTGTTAACTTTGACAATCATTTATCTGCTTCTGTCCCTCTTTCCTGTGGGGTCCCGCAAGGCTCCATTCTTGGACCCCTTCTGTTCTCTTTGTTTCTGCTCCCCTTGGGGTCCATCCTGAGGAAACATGGTATTTTGTTTCATTGTTACGCCAATGATTCTCAGATCTATCTGCCTTTAAAACTCAACAGTTTCTGCTCCAACCACCCTTTGCTAAAATGTCTTGATGACATCAAGACCTGGATGGCTGTGAACTTCTTGAGTTTTAACGATCAGAAGACTGAGGTCATTGTGTTTAACCCAAGCTCTGTCACTGATCCTGTAAACCTGCACTCCTTTCAGCCACATCTAAAGCAGTCGGTTAACAATTTCGGGGTAGTGTTAGACTCGGACTTTAAGTTTAATAAACAGATCAACTCTGTTCTACAAAAAAGCTTTTTTCAGCTAAAGCAGATAGCAAAGTTTAAGTCCGTTCTGTCCAGATCCAACCTTGAAAAACTAGTCCATGCATTTATTACAACTCGGCTGGACTACTGTAACTCACTTTATGTTGGGGTCAGTCAGGCTTCACTTTGTCTCCAGCTCGTACAAAATGCAGCAGCTAGGCTTTTAACAGGAACTCGCAGGTTTGAGCACATTACTCCGGTTCTGTCCTCCCTTCACTGGCTTCCTGTGCGTGTCAGAATAAATTAAAAAATTCTCCTGCTGACATTCAAGTGCATTAATGGCCTCGCACCATCATACCTCTCCGACCTTCTTCATCCTTATGCTCCTTCTCGGGCTTTGAGATCATCAGACCAGCTGCTTTTGTCCGTACCTAAAACCAGGCTGAAGCTCAGAGGAGATCGAGCGTTCTCAGTCGTGGGCCCTAAACTTTGGAACAATCTGCCCATCAACATTCGACAGGCCACCTCAGTCTCTGCTTTTAAAGCTCTCCTAAAAACACACCTATACTCATGACATTTAACACAGTGTGATCAGATTTAGATCTAGTTTTTCATTGATGCTGATTCTGTTTATGCTTTTTGTTATTATTCCTATTTAACACAAGGTCATCAGGTCTGATTTAGTATTCCATTGTTTCTGACTGAGTTTATGCTTTTTGCTATTATTTCCTTGACTTTTGACACAATGTGATCTGATTTAGTATTTCTTTGTTTCTAATTATGTTTTCGGTTTTATATTTTTATTCCATGTGCTGTAAATATATCTTGTTACTTTTTATTTGATGTTATGCTATTTTTGTTAAGCACTTTGGTAACAGTTTCTGTTTTAAATGTGCTCTATAAATAAATCTGACTTGACTTGACTATACAACAGACTCAAAGTTTTATGGTTTATATGCAAAAAGAAAAATATTTGACCAAGTTGAATAAAACCATATTCTTTGGACTGCGGTGCTAACAACAAAATATAGTTTATTGGGGGGTGGGGGGTCTGTTTTTTGGACAAAATTATAGAAAATTATTAAATGATTGAGTGAATAAATTTGATAACTAACTCATTTTATAGTATATTTTTGTTGGTGCTATATATAAATGTAAAACTGCTTATTTGTATGGATTTTTCATGTATAAGGACGATTTGCCGTGGAGAGGTGTCCATCCTGTCTCAGCTTAGTAAAGGTAAGTTTTGGTTTTCTATCTGCTTTGGTTTATTAAAATATTCAATGAGTTGACCCACTAATTCGTTTTGGACTGTTTAACATGAGTGTTTTTCTTTCTGTCACTCCTTTAAATCAAATCTACTCATCCATGGCATCTGCCTACCATGCCATTCTCTGACCTTTTTAAACCTTTTTTTTTTTTTAAACTTACACATATGCATTAAACTCCTTGTTAATCTTCACAGAAAGTAATTATCCACTGTAAATGATCTCATTCTGATTTGTCCCTCAGTGATAGACAACTGGCAAGACTACATCACTTTTTGTGGTCTCAGAACACACTCCAAGCTCTCCGGGTTACTTGTCACTGAGCTGATCTACGTTCACAGCAAGATTCTAATAGCCGATGACCGCCGTTACATCATTGGTGAGACTGATTGTAACATCATTTAAGGTAGTATCTCACTGGGTTGTGGATATTTGGACATGAAACAATACATAAAAAAGCAGTTATTGGGGGAATTTCCAATATGTTTTGTGACTTTCACAGTGGTGTAAGTCACAGAAAGGCGTGCAGTTTATTCTCGAATTTTGAACATGTTCAAGCAATGTGTACAACAAATTTCCCTCAATAGTCACATAATTAGTACGGGCGTCATGAACCAATTTTTTGACTCCTTCACAAGACCTCTTCTTTGATAGAAAATACCCCAAACAAATGTCCAGGTCTACAAACCAAACCGACAGAGGAGGAAGCCAAATCATATGAAAGCAAATTTGTCAAAATGCATACTGACAGGTCACAAAACCTCTGGGAGAATGCCTTTTGGAAAAATGAGACACAACTGAAGCTGTCTGACAAAACTGGAAAAAAGTCACCTCAGCCCAATGTTCACAGACGCAAAATTGAAACAATAAAAGAACATTGAAACTACAGTGAAACATGGAGGATGATCGGTTCGGTTCTGGGACTGCTCTTGGCACAGGAGGTCTTGAATCTGTACAGGGCACAATGAATTTTCAAGACTATCAAAGCATTCTGGAGATAAAGGTGCTTCCCAGTGTAAGAAAGTTTAATCTCCATTGCAGGTCATGGGTCCTCAACCATGATAATGACCATGGTGCACCCAGGTCAGCTGGGAAACATAGTCTTTCATTGTGTCCTGGGTCTTCCCCAGGGTCTCCTCTCATTTGGACATGCCCGTAATACCTCCCTAAAGAAGCATCCAGGGGGCATCCTTACTAGATGCCTAAACCAATCCAACTGGCTCATCTCAATGTGGAGAAGCAGTGACTCTACTCCAAGTCTCCAACACTTCTTACCCTACTTCTAAGACAAAGTTCAGCTACCCTGCAGACAACTTATTTTGAACCCCTTTATTCACAGTCTCACTCCCTCGGTCATTACTCAGATTTCATGACCATAGATGAGGGTGGGAACTGAGCCCAACTATTAACGGAGTACGCAGTACTGCAGATGCTGCACAAATCTATTTGTTGATCACATGCCCTGTTCTGCCCTAACTCATGAACAAAACCCCAAGATACTCTTCCATTTGAGGCAGCACCTTACTCCCAACTCAGAGAAAGCAGTCCAACCTTTTCCAACTGAGGACCATGAACTTAGATTTGAAGGTGCTGATCCTCATCCCAGCTGCTTCTCAATCAACTGCAAACTGCTTCAGTGAGAGATGTAGATCATGGCTTGACGATGCCAACAGGACCACATTTTCTGCAATAGCAGACAGAACTTGAGGTCATCAAATTGAGCCCCTTCTGGTTTTATTCTCTTCCTGCTCGTGTCAGCTCTTGGGTTGAGATGATTTAAGTGTCTAATCTTAACTTTAAATATGACAGATGTCTCCAAGTTACAGCAATTGCTTGACTGCTGTGACTGCCTCAAAGGGACATGCAACAAAATATGAAGTCAAGGGTACTATCCTTTTTCTTAATACCATTTATATTATGGTTTTTATTCTGTTGAACCAAAACTCACAAGCATTTGCTGATTTTTCATTAATTGATTTTCAGTAATTAGTTTCAAGTTATTTTAGTTTTATTCCTTTAATCTAAGGATACCAGCAAATTTATCTGTTTACATAAATAATCCTAACTGACCCAAAGTAAACAAAAATGGCCTTGGACTGTCAATTTTACAGATATGTAGATAAAATTGGGTGTTTTAGTAGCTAAGTCTTTCCCAAAACATTTACCAAGTGCTAAATGACTAAGATCTTGCACAAACTTTACCATTAACTACTGTGGTCAACATCTGTCAGCAAAATATCTTAAAATATCTCAACCACTGAGAATTTAACTCTCAAACTAATTACATATGATCTTTTTTACGTACCTTGGAATATGTCAGGTAATAAACTGATTTGATTTAAATTTACACATTCATTCAACCTTTATTTATACAGATTAGTCTCATTGAGTCACGAGGACTCGTGCACAAGAGAGACCTGTTTTAAACAAAGAACACAGATGTGGTACAGACAACAATAGACAATCATATAAAAACATGAAAAGTAAATAGAAGAAATTATATAAAAAACAAAAACAAAAACAGCTAGATTATAAAATGATGTAAAATACTAAAAACAGGAACATGTCTGCGTTGATTTTTGTGATAGATAGATAGATAGATAGATAGATAGATAGATAGATAGATAGATAGATAGATAGATAGATAGATAGATAGATAGATAGATAGATAGATAGATAGATAGATAGA